GGGGGCGCGTGGGGCCCGGGGACAGGGCGAGCCGGCGTCCCACGGCCCCGTGTCCCGCAGCTCCACGGCCGGCACCCCGCAGCCCGGCACTGCCCTCTTGCTTGAATATAGTCAAGTGCTTTTGGGGCAACTCCTCAGATCTGATAGATTGTCCCCCAAATGGGGGCATCACGGGGTCATTTTTGTCTTTGTAGACCTGCCCGGGGGGTGTGGGGTCTTCCTTGTGGAATCGCAGCTTGCTTGAGAAATTGCAATGTTTCCCTTTTTCTTGATAGTGAAAATCACGACTTTTCTCTTTTTCTTCCCATCAAAATTGCATTTTTTCTCTTTTTCTTGAAAGAGAAATCACAACATTTTTTGCTAGGGAAATCCCAACGTAGGCGCCCTCCTCTTTGGGCCCTGGCACCCAGTCTGCACCGTGGAGTGCCCAGTGCCAATCCCTGCTGGAACGGGGGTGGCCGGAAGGAGGGAAGCGCTGCGGGAAAGTGAAATTCCAAGGAACTTGATGTGAAAGAAAATAATCAAATGGATAAACGAGAGGGATGAGCGCCTCTCCTTGCGAAACGCCTTTGATCGCTGGGGCAGGAGAGTGCGGTCGGGGAGCGTTTCCCAAGAGGCCAGGCCGTGCCAGGGCTGTTGGGAAAGCGGGAGCGCACCGGGCTCCCGAGCTCAGACTGGGAAGGGAGCCGGGATGCGGGTTTCTCCCGCCGGCAGCACCGAGCCGCGGCAAGGAAGACTCCAGCGGGGTGAGGAAGACTCCCATTAAAAAGGGCTGACGCACTCTGGCCGGACTGGCCAGGTGGCTCGTTAGCTTCCATCACCTAACGAGTGCCTTGGAGAGGTGCCGGCAGGCGCAGGGACGGATCTGCAGCCATTTCCTCCCAGCTCAGCCGGGCTGACCCTGGCTTCCTTCATTTGTTTTGCCGGCAATTAAGCCATAATGGTGGCGTCGGGCTGCGGGTGGAGGATGCTGCGTGCGGGGGCGCAGCGAAGCCCGCGTGGGGCCGGGGGCTCCCGTCCCTCATCCCTTGGGAACTGGGCCCTCACGGTGCCACCAGGTGCTGGCTCCTTCCCACCCACTGTTACAAGGGTGTGAAGGAACAACCTGAGCGAGCTCGAGGGACAAGGTCTCCCCCCAGGGCCACTGAGGTGACCACGCTGCCACCCAGGGTGGGGGATTCCTCCTGCCACCTCCTAGGACTCCCCCCAGCATCGTCCCCACTCACTGGCCACCCTGCGCACATGCTGGTCACCCCAGGCAGGCACGGGCCACCACATACACATGGCACTTGCACCCATGCATGTGCTGGCTATTGCTGTGCACATGTGCCACTGTCCTGAGCCCTGTGCCACCGTCCCCACGCCCGCCACCCTGCACTGCTGTGGACTTAGCAGGTGGAGCCCTTCATCCTGGCTAGCTTGTGTGCAAAACCTCCCTTGGCAAATGAACCTCCCGTTTGTCCCCTGTCCTGTCCCCCAAGGGCTGCTGGGGACCTTCCCTGTGGTGCCACCAGCGTCCGGCCAGGAGCTGCTGCAAAGTCGGAGCCCTTCCCTAGGGGCTTCCTTCCCTTTCCTGAATGGTGGCAATAACTGGGATCGGCAGCAATTCCGTTGTGGAGTGCAGCTGAGCCCGAAGGTGTTTTGGCAAGCCCGGGATGTGTTGGAAACCTCACGGCATGGCTGAGTTGAGCCGGAGCCGTGGCCAAGCATGGAGAAAACCAGAAACCTGGGAAACTAGGAACTGTTCTCTGATTTTGGACCTTCGGACAGGGCTTTCTGTGAAGGCAGTGAGGACCATTCCCGAAAGGGCAAAGTCCCCGCAGGGCCTGAGTGGCTCCATCTGCCTCCTGGGAAGGATGATCCCTAGTGCCAGCCCTGGCGCCAACCTCCACGCAGGTGTCGTGAGCCACCAAGCTTGGGGGCGCGGGATGAAAGCCACCACCGCGGCACAGGGTGTCATTACCGAGGTGACGCAGGGCTGGGGAACGGCAGTGTCACCTCCCCGGGGCGGCTGCAAAATGTCACCGGGCTCGGCAGCATGACGGGGCTCCGGGGCTGCCGACCACCAGGATTTGCATCTGTGATGCACGGGGAGTGACTGGTCCAGGAAGCGCCCTGGCCCTTGGCTTTTTAGGCAACGAAATGGGCAGCGGGTGGCCACGGGTGAGTGTGGGGCGCGTGCTGGGCTGGCCGCCGAGCTGGGAGAATAAGCCGTGATTCCCGGGGCTTTGCTTTTCCTCCAGCCCGGCCGCAGCCGGGAGGGACGCGGGGGCTGCCCCGGCCCCAGTCCAGCCCCGGCCCCGGCCCCGTCGCGCTCGTTGCCGTGGCTCAGCGGTGCCGGCCCCGCGCAGCAGGGATGATGAGTCTGTCCTCATTAAGAAAAGTTACTCACGCCTTGGGAGAGAAACCAGAATATCCTGGAAATGCCTTTGCTTGGCGGCTTCTCACATTTAAGGAATGGCCAAAACTGAGAGGGCGGCCGCACGTGCGGCTCTGCCGCATGCGTGAGGGGCA